AATCTCTCCAAATCAAATCAGAAGCCTCTGAATCAATTCAGAGAGATTTGGAGATTCGGCCATAGACTGTACAGGCAGGCATTAAGCAATGAGGGCTGGAGCAGCTTGGGGAGCAGCCACATGAGCCCTGACTTAAGTCAGCAGCCCCAGGAGAAGCCGCGGCTCCCCTGGCTGCTCCTCCAGCTGTCCCCCTGCCAGGGTGAGGCAGGCGATGCTGGCAGCCCCTAGAGAAGCAGCAGGGGCTGTGGGGAATGATCAGGGAGCTGGGGGGTCAAACCAGGAGCTGAGGGGAATGATTGGGGGCTGGGGGAATGAAGAGCTCCCAGTTCAATCCCCCAGCTCCCCAACCATTTCCCCCCAGCCCCTGCAGCTTCTCCTGGGGCTGACAGCACTGTCTGCTTCACCCCAACAGGAGGGTAGCCAGGGGAGCAGCCAGACAAGCTGCAGCTTCTCCTGAGAATGCTGGCTCAAGCCAGGGCTCGTCCAGCTGCTCCTCCAGCTGCTCCCGCTAGTAGTGCCTGCCTCTATAGCAGGGGTGGGCAAAATGCAGCTCATCAAGCCATTCTATCTGGCCCATGGGGCCCCTAAAAATTTAGAAAATTAATATTCATCTGCCCCTGGCTGCCTGTCATGCAGCCCTCAATGGCTTGCCAAAACTCAGTAAATGGCCTTTTGCCCAAAATAATTCCCGCCCCTGCTCTATAGTCTATGGCAAAATAAGATTCAGCACTGAATATCTTTGGATTCAGCTTCAGCTGAATCAAATCAGGACAGTGATTTGAATCACTGAATCGAATCACTGTCCCTCCGAATCACTGTATCTGAATCCAAAGCTAATACTTTCTGCTTTGAACAGGCCTACAATGTATTCCATTCCAGTAGAGGCCACTGCTCTGAACATCCTGACCAGCTCTCATTCTTCTGGCCAGTATTCATTGTCCCATCTTTCCCCTGCTCCTCCCTGCCCTCCCTCCCCTCCCCTCCCCTCCCCCAAAAAAGGAGTATTCATTAAGGTTGATATGGAGAACTTAGAGATATTCAGGGATTCTGAGAGGTACTAAGGTTGGCTTCTGCCTCTCCTTTCTCCCGCTGAGTGGAAGGGAGATATTTTCAAACCCTTGACTGATGTCTTTGCTAGGTTTCATCTTTCATGGAATTGCATGGAAAATCCTCCATATACAAAAAGCTTTGTTTAGGGTTTTAAAAAAAAAAAATCTGACTGTCATAAACCTATAATATGGACTTCTCTGGAGCTGTGTAGAACTCCTCATCTTGTTGCCAGAGGCTCATATGAAGCTTTCTTCTGTTTTACCTTTCTGTATGTTTACATCCCAACATCTTGTTTCACTTTTGGTCAAACCCAAAAAACTCAAAGTGAAACTTTCTGAAGACATTTTCCCCCAAATGTTGATTGAAGTTCAGGCAATGACCCCACTTAGCTCCAATATGACCTCCAGCACACTTGGAAGGGATGTAAGGTCCAATGACTTTTCTATAAATCTTGGTTTTCGAGTATGTTACAACCTTAAAACCAAGCTTTTTGAGTGCTCTGACATTATTGTCAGAAGTACAGGTTGGATGTAAGGACTGTCAAGTGGATAGAAAACTGGCTCAAAGGGTAGTGATCAATGGCTCAACCTCTAGTTGGGAGCCAGTAGAGTACCCCAAAGGTCAGTCCTGGGGCCGGTTTTGTTCAAAATCTTCAATAAACAACCTGGAAGATAGAATGAAGTGTACCTTCAGCAAGTTTGCAGATGACACCAAGCTGAGGGTGTATAGTAGATACACCGGAAGGTACAGCTCAGATTTAGATACTTAGACAAATTGGATAACTGGGCCAAAAGACATTTCATGACGTTCAATAAGGACAAATGCATAGTCCTGCACTTAGGATGGGACAATCCCATTCATTGGTATAGGCTGTAGAGTGACTGGCTAAGCAACAGCTCTGCAAAAAGACCTGGGGGTTACAGTGGACAAGAAGCTGAATATGAGCCAACAATGTGTCTTTTGTTGTGAAGAAGGCTAATGACATACTGGGCTGCATTAGTAGGAGTATGGCCAGCAGACTGAAGGAAGTGATTCTTCCCCGATAGTTGCCACTGGTGAGGCCACATCTAGAGCACTGTGTCTAGTTTTACATCTCCCACTACAGAAAGCTTGTGGACAAATTGGAGGGAGTCCAGTGGAGGACAATGAAAATGGTTAGTGGGCTGGGGCACATGACTTCTGAGGAGAGGCTGAGGATACCGGGTTTATTTAGTCTGGAGAAGAGAAGACTGAAGTGGGGTTTATAGCAGCCTTCAACTACCTGCAGGGTGGTTTCAAAGAGGACGGGGCTAAACTGCTCTCAATAGTTGCAAATGAAGGAACAAGGAGCAATGGTCTCAAGTTGCAGCAAGGGAAGTTTAAATTAGGTATTAGAAAAAACTCACTAGGGCTAGGGACAGACATTACACATAAACCAGTTTAAGCAATCAGAAACTGGTTTAAACCTGTAACAGAGCAGACATTCAGTTCACATAAACCAGTTTGAAAATGGATTAAACTGGTTTGAGATAAACCTGGTTGAATGTAGTATCAGACTTTAACTGATTTGGGTCAAACCAGTTAATGCAATGTCTGTCCCAGACCCCTTGCTGGTTTAAGATAAACCAAACTCCCCCAGCATCCCAGCATACTCTCTGGGCTAGGCAGGGCTCTCTGCTCCTCAGCAGGGCTGGCCCCTCCCCTCTGCTCCCTGGCTGCAGCTCGGCAGAGACTGCAGGCTGCCCCCTCCCCCATCACTCCCTGCTAAACAGGAATTCCCCCCTCCCCTCTGTATTGCAGAGAGGTGTCTGTGTATTAGCTAGCAGACCACATACTGGCTACGGTCCATGCTGAATCAACACGTAGAATCAACAGGTAGCTGGTAATGTCCCTCTGTTTTCTTAATGGGGTGATAAACATTGGGTTAGGGCCGAAGAACACTATTATCACTTCCCTGCTGGGCTAATCATAGTGCCCTGCTGCCATGTCCCACCTCAGCTCAGTGTTGTGGGAGGGATGGGAGGGCTGCTATAGTGCCCCCCAGCTTCTAGCTTAAGCCACTGCAGGCATGTGCCTGTATGTCTGGGATGTCTGTGCAGTTGCAAACCAGTTCAGCCTAGTCAGGTTAGACTAACCTGCAATGATTGAATCAATTCAGGCTCAGGCTTTTTGAATGTCTGTCCATTGCCTAGGAGGGCAGTAAAGCACTGGAATAGATTACTCAGGCTGAATCTACACAAGAGGTCCTGAGGTCCCTTCCAACCCTAATTTTCTGATTCCATGATTGTGCTGGATAAGGTAGTGAAAATTAGGCATGCAGAGCATGATTTAATGAAATGACTCAGTGCACTTAAGCTTATAAATATTACAAGGATTTATATAGCTGTTGTCAAGTCCAATGCAAGGGACCAGATATGATCCATTTAGACCTTTATAGATTGCTAGTCTGTGTGATATCTAAATGCTCCACTGATACCAATATGAGCTCTGTTCGGTGAAAGGAGTTCTGCCTTTCCTTATCCCTGGATCCTAAAATAGGTAGGATGATAGCTCAGTGAAGATACCAAAGTCATAGAAAGATTTAATGTAGGAGGGATGAAAGTTGTGTGTAGGTCTGTGTAGGCTTTGCAGTATGTGAAAGGATGAAGATAGTGAACTTGTTACAGAACTTGGGAAAGAAAGTGAAGGAGGTAGGGGAGTACCTTCTATATTCCTAAGACCTCTCCCTATGTTTTTCTAGTAATAAATAAGAAAGCAGCAGAATGAAGGTGGAAAGAGTCATGGGGCGGGGAGGGGGATGAGGTTGGAAAGAGTCATGGAGCGGGGAGGGGGGAGGAAGGGGAAAAGGATTAACATGGGGAAAAGAAAGCTGAAAAAATTGACAAAGAAAATCATCTATGAAGACATTCTTGTGCAGAAGGCTAGAAAATAAAAATGCTTCCCTTTTAAATCCCTGGGAATGAAAATGGCTTTGAAGTAGCCCCAATGCCTAGTCACCTCTTTGGTGACTGATGAGAGAAAGTGGGTCACTGCTTTCCAGAGAACTATTTAGCAGTTAATGGGCAGGGTTTTCCACAGGTGTTGTAGAGATACTCTCAGTTCAGGTGTCAGCATATAGGCTTAATTTCCAAGATTTGGTTTGTGTATAGATCAAGTAATACAGGAGGTGAGATAAATGGCACAGGTACAAGTTGATCAACAGCTCTTTAAAAAAATGTAATTTTTTATTTAATTATATACCAGTCAATATAACATTTAGAAACTAGAAAATAGGTTGCTTGCCATTTCTTTTAACAAGTTTCAATTTCCTATTCAGTTTCTATGAAATAATCTGTTCAGCAGTATGTACTCCGCAAATGCAGCATAGGCACACTGCCTCATGCTTTGTGCTGCCCCATGTGCACTAAGGGCATGTCTTAAATGTATGTGTGCATGTATGACATATTTAAAACCAAGTCATTCTTATATTGGAATATCAACCAGTTTTACAAAAAATATACATGTTATAAATTATGCCTATATAACAAAATTACATTTTCATTAAATTAAAACTTAATATGTTCACAGTATTCTTAACATTAAAAACATTTTCATTAAAAAAAAAAAAAAAGTTCACAGGAAGGTGCCAGTAAAATACCATGTGAAATCCTAGTAGGAGTCCTAGGTTTTTGTTTGTTTAATACTAAGCAGATTCATTTTAAAAAATTGTAAGTGTCAAATTTGAACACATATTGCAAGACTATCTTCAGGGCTTTTATATTGCATCTTTGATGCTAATTACATTAAATCGTTAAACTCCTTTTCCACTGACACACAAACCAGCAAAATTCAGAAATTTTAGATTTATGTAATCACTACCTAACCCTGCTAGAGTCAGGAATGAAATTCTTACTCAATTGTATTTGGGCAAGATTTTTCTTGTAGTTTTTTTTTTGTTTTTTTTTTCCCTAAAGTGGAATCATAAACCTGGACCTTCACTGGTCATTTTTAAACTGCACCTGTAATGGATGTAACACCATAAAATGTAGCTGTTCTAGTTACAAGTCAGTTATGAGTTTAAAAAAAAAAAATACCCAGTATCTTCAGCAGTGGGTACCCTGTGAGAAGCTTATTTGACATCTGGTTTAAACAAGCATCTTGAGGTTAGGAGCCTGTATTTGAACCTTATCTGAGTCTTGAAATCTTTCTCATAGTATTTTGGCACACTTCCTACTCTGCTCTAGAAATTGGGACTGGAGGGAAAATGCCAGTCAGGACAATTTTGAGCCTTAAAAGTTCAGCGCAAGTATGATTCTGTAGAAATAGGTGAGAGCATGGGTTTTCTCTTAACAAGTTAACCCAGCTCTACCTTTTGAGTACAGGAGCTGAATATATAAGGTGATATGCTTAAAAATCTGATAGGATATCAATTAATAATTGTAAGCTCTTTGTGGCAGAACTGCATCCCCTCCTCCCTATATGGTCAGTTTTGCACAATGCAGACTCTTGGTACTCTCCATTTATTTTAATAATAATGGTTGTGTTATTAAGAGGCTAGATCTTGAAGTCCTCATTTAATCAGATTTCTCCTTCAAGTGTATGGGAATTCTGCCTGAGTTAAGGACTAAACAAATTCCAAAGTTCTCAAGAATTGACCTCAAATAAAGATAATTTCAGCTGAATCCAGTGTTCATAACTCATCACCTTTTTAATATTTATTTTACAAAAATAAATAATATGCTGTCAAGAATTATTTTTAAGGGCCAAATCCCATCCATACAGCACAACCTAAATCCAAGAGTTTGTTTCAAGCATCCTGGTTCCCAGCCATCAGCTGTTATGTACAAGTTAACAGGCACTGCTGCAAGGCATACAGATGGATAATGGGGATAGACTAGTGCACTTATCCTTCAGAGCCTCCCTGTCCTATGCACAGCTTCACTGGCCATGCATTTAGGATATTACATTCTGTCTTCTGAAAAATTGACCGTAGGTCTCCGTTATGCCTATCTGTGCATTGGAAACACTCTTTATTGCCCCTTTCCTCCCCCCCCCAGTTTGGGCTCTTACAGATTCGATCAGTAAATATGTATTTAGATCTTAATGACCTCTTAACAACAAGCTAAATTCTAAGCCTGCTTATGTGGGCACTTAAAGCTATAGTTCAGCATAACTGTTGACAAAGATATCAGAGAACCTGCTCAGAGCGCACAAATCTGATGTTCCCTAATGGCATCTGCAAGGTAGCACAGAGTCCTTCCCAGTGACCAGGTGGGTGAGCATACAGAGCAAACACATAGCCAAATGCTCTTATAATACTGTAATGACAGGGCACTTGCTCCATCCTCCCTTCTCCATATATGGCACTAACTGGCTGCTGAACTAACACCCAGGCTTTAGTGCCATTCTTGTCAGTTCACAATAGCAAAGCTCTTTCACTCTGGCTGGGAGAGTGACATTTGAGCACCATATGAATTATCTGTGTAATATTCATAACATGTTTAAATTCAGGCTGTATATATAGAAAGTTTTCAGGCAGAAGGTCAAATCCTCAAGTCCTTAGTTTTTTGCTCAGCCAAATGCTCACTGGAGTTGACAAATGTTTGCCTGAGGAGAGATTTCAGTATATGGGGGGAAATTATGGTCCACATAAATACAGTGTTGAACATCTTAAGTCCTCTTAACCCCCTTCAGAAAATGCAGAATTAATATTTAACTACTTTACCCTTCTACACAGCTCTGAGGGGCTTTTTTAGCATAGCCTTTGTTACATAGTTGCATGCTGTCTTGCAAATCTTGTCTTGAAAGTCGTCTCCTGAACTCATCTGTAGTAAAGTAGTATATAACTGGGTCTACACAGGAATTTAAACTGGCAAGGCACAAAGCCACAGCATGAAATACTGTAATCACATTTTGGGCATGCTGGTCTTCTATCTTTTTGGTTTTAACAAAAAAATCTAAAGGGAAGCTGATATGATAAGGTGCAAAGCAAATTAGAAACACCACAGCACAGGTGAGAATCATCTTTAAAGCTTTTTTTTTCTCACCCAGGTCATGGGAAACAGAATTCTTTTCTTTTAATGATAAGATCGTTTTCCATGAACAATACAGTATTATTAGCAAAGGAGTCACAAACCCAAACAACTCGCCCAGGGTCATCATTGCAATGGAGAGGGGAAGATCAATATCTTTTACGGGAAGGTCCACAAAGCAGTTACTCATATTTGTCTCATTCTGTCTTAGAAGAGGAAAAGGCAAGCAGCCAATACAGACAACAATCCACCCAATGATGCTGATGTATATGTCGTATATGCGTTTGCAATCGCTAAATCTGAAGGGGTACATGAGAAACAAAAATCGTCTTACGCTGATGCAAACCAAGAAGTAGATACTTGCGTACATGTTCACATATTTAAGGTAGAAACAAAACATGCAGAGACCTCCTCCAAAGTGCCATGTTCCAGACAAGTAGTAGAATATCCGTAGGGGCAGAGATAAAATTTGTGCTAAATCAGCAATGGCGAGATTGATCATAAAGATCACAGCCCTTTTCGTTTCTCTCATGTAACCATAAAAAACCCACAGAGCTAGAACATTTCCTATTAATCCAGGAACCAAGATAAAAGTGTATGTAATTGCATAGTAGCATTTTAGGTCCGTGTTGTTGTGACAGATCGAGTTGTCAGTTGTCATGTTTGTTTTCATTTAGCACAGAAGTGAAGTCCAGGGAAAGGTTTCGGTAAGAGGTGGAGTTTTTAACCACTTAAAATTTCCCAGAAACGTAACAATTTAAAAGCATTGGAGAAGCTGCAAACTTAAGGTTGCTTTGCCTTGTTTCTTTGCATCCTCTTGCTTTCGTGTACAGCATTATTTGGCTCTTCACAGTATTTGGCTCTTTTTATTTTTTCTCTCTCGTGTTAATTTAACTATGCAAAAATGTTGACTGTGTAGCATGATATTGTTCCTCTATAGATTTTTGCTGGTCAGATTGTCCTGAGGCTAGGCACATTTTTGTTGGATCTCCTTCCCCTCTGGTGTGTGTATTGAGGTCTCAGTTGTTATTCCATCTATCCAACTCTGGAGCCTTATTCTTTGACTTAGTCAGGTACAGCTCTAGTTGTGTTCCTTCTCAAATGCCTGTTTGAAGTTAATAGTTGGTTGTGCTGCTGATTGGATGAAGATCTGCATGGGGAGAAGAAAGGGCATCTGCTATGCTGGAGCTGTAAACAATTTAGACCTGTAATTGCATCTTCAGTCATCCTTCTGGAAGCATTTCATATCTAGTTTTCTCAGTGACCAAATCTGAAAATAGTGGCAGACCTGTACCTGAAATGCAATGACAAAAATTGCTTTTATAATGCCATAAGAGAACATATTTTTAAGTAATATATATCTTGTATATGTACAAGAACTTGAAAGGAAGCACTGGATTTGTTTTCCCTCCAGTATGGAGCAGTTTGAGGTGCTGAGTTGTACAGCTCCTGCTTTCTTCTCTATTCAGTGCTATGTTATCTTCAGTGCAGGTCAATACAGAAGAAGGTAAGGAAAATGTTACTCGGTGCAATTATATTCCAAACCACAGCAATAAAGGCTGTATGTTCAAGCAAAACTCATCTCTGACTGGAGGACATATGTATTTGTTCTGCAGCAACTTTTTCTCAGTATGGGATCCCCTGATGTCCTGATGGAGTGCTATGGGCCAAGCACAACACTTTTTGGCAGGTGCCCTCCTCAGATGCCACCCCAGTCCCTTTCCCCTGCCCAATCTACTGCTCTACTTGTGCTGCCTGCTTCCTCCACAAGCTGCCATGGGCCACAGGTTGGCTACCCCTGGCTTACGGCATTATTTCTAAGGAACTACCATCTGACTCAGTTCCCCAACATTGTTGCCCAGGGAGCATCTATTCCCTAAAAAGGAGTCTCTCTTCCCATAGAAATCCTTCCCTGTACTCCTCATTAAGAAGGTCATTGACCCATCTGGGCTAGGACCCAGCAGTGCAATGTGCCTCCTAACATGGACCAGTCCACTATGGAAGCTGCCAGGGGAGACATACAGATATATGTATATATTTATATATGTATATAATATGTATATAAATATAACATAATGGAGTACCAAGGAGGAATAATAATGGACAAGGGGCACATGACCAGTTGTACAAGGCAGCATTTGTGGGGGAAAATATATGGTCATGTGCCTCTAGTCCATTAAGTGTTCTTCCTTGGTGCTCTATTTCAAGTGTGTTTATGCTACAGACACTGTCATTAGGATTTTTATAACACCCCAGTTAGCGTTAGATATTCACTCAGTTCCCTACATAATGCACCAGTATCCCACAGTGTCTTAATCCTCTTTCCGTGTATCTTTATAGGGCTGATGTACCTTCATATAATTTGTCCTTCAAACACCCTGACAATTTTTAACCTGGAGTCTGAGTTCATAGAATCATAGAAGTAGGGTCGGAAGGGACCTTGTAGATCTTCAGGTCCGACCCCCTGCCTGGGCAGGAGGGAAACTGGGCTCAAATGACCCCAGCCAGGTAGGCATCAAGCCTCTTCTTAAAGACCCCCAGGGTAGGAGCCAGCACCACTTCCCTTGGAAGTTGGTTCCAGATCCTAGCCACCCTGACTGTGAAGTAGTTCCTACAGTTGTCTAATTTAAACCTACTTTCCAACAACTTGTGGCCGTTACTCCTTGTTATACGGGGGGGGTGCTAGGGGAAACAAGGTCTCCCCCAAACCCTTCTGGTCCCCCCTAGTGAGTTTATAGACGGTCACCAGGTCCCCCCTCAGTTAAACTCAGTAACCTAAGATGAAGCAGCTGGCAGCCCTCCTCCCCCTTGAGTTTGTGCCAATAGTCCCAAGGATCAGAGGAGCTGATGTTACCCCTGCATGGTTTTCCACTATATACTCTTGTAAATCTGTCTCAGACCCCAAGGACTTGAGTCTCAAGTAATCTTCCCACCTATGCATGCCCTATACTTTTTCAGACATAACACCTTGGGCCTTTAGCATCCCCAAGCAGTGGAATATCTAGAATGGCTGTTCCCTACAGTTAGAGTTGACCCAAACCCTCTATGTAGCTCCCCCCACACTTTAGGTCAGCCTTCCTTCTCCCCTGCCCCCAACAAAACTGGACATAGTACCCATATCTTGATTGGCCAAATGGCCTGTGCCATGGCAATTCCTAGGTTTCCAGTCCACTAGGCACATGTTAAGGTAAGGCTGGCATGCCTCCATAGAATTAATCTAACCATAACAGGTTGCCTGAAGTTGAAGCCACATTTGCAGAGGTATTTTTCCCATTTGGCTTGTAACCTCATGCTCTTATTCTTTTGTATTCTAGGACCTTTTACAAAAAACCGTCGGTGTCCATTCAAACTTAAACCAGGAGTCTTTTCTAAATGGTCTGTAGCTTACTAAATTACTTTGGTCCCTTTTATTAGAAGTTCTTATAGCTGTGGCTCCCAGTGAGGAGATGAGATTATATTGTCTATCTAGAGGGAATACTTGATCTTCTTGCAGACACTGATGTAGGTATCACTCCTTTCCCATTCCTTTACTAGAGCAGCCATTTAGCAGTCATTTAGCATATGGGATGCATCTAACTGAAGTTTCTGACACTCCTACTGTTGAGCTAAGGAATTGGATTAGGAGGATGTGCTGCCACTGCCATCCTTGTCTGACTCTTCCAACATTTATGTATCATCCAGGTTACCGGGGTGCATCCAGTGTCTGGACCATGTCTTTTGTTTTTGGTTTGGGGGTTTTTGGGGGGGAGGGGGAGGGAAGGGTTGTGTGATCACCCTTATGGATTATGCCAATTAGTAATAGCTTGGTAAAGTGTTAACCCTCTCTCTCTGCACAGTTTTATGATCTGCTAGCTTTTTCTTTCTCTGCCCTCCCTATCTCATCTTGGAAGAACATAAGCCACTTTACGAGAACTGTTTCCTTTAACTGAGCCTGTTTACTACAGCAGTTGCTCCTTGCAAAACGCTATGGTTGCATTCAGCATCTCACTGGCTTGCTATCAGCTTCATGGGTCCACAAAGAATCTTGCACCTCTGATCTTTATATGCCTCATCAGGGAGAGTACCCATTTAGCGCAGCTCGGCTGCTCTATGACTAGGTCACAGCCTTCAGCACTTCTGCTTTTTACTGTGGCTCCTCCTGCTGGGTCCAAGAGAGCCCATATTCCCTGTGGAAGTTTTCTTTTCCCTCTTTGGAGTCAAACAGCCAGCAGATGCTTTCAACGACTCTGGACAGCATTAGCAAAACAAACCAGCTTTTATTAGCTGCAATGCAGCATTCTAAGGTCCCTGGGTTAAAATGAAAAAGACAAAGCTGACAGGCATGCCTGTTCTTCCAGCACAGCCTATCTGTTTACCAACATGTCCAGGATTTCATTTTCCTTCATGCACTGCACAGCTGCTTCTTAACTTATAGTGTCCTGTCCCCTCAGGTTTCTATCTTAGGCTGTAGTCAAGTTGCTTTCACACTCTGCTTAATATCACACTATCTGCTTTCACACTAGCTGCTTAATAGCTTTTGGTCTTCTGTTGCATTTTCAAGGTGAGCAACTGTTAGGTGCTATCAGTTGATATCTATAAATTAACTTGGTTATGTGGTCAAAATCACCTCAGGAGGTCATTTAATACAGGCAGGATCATCCAAGGCAAGTGTCTAATCTGCTCTTAAAAACTGCTAACGATGGATATTCCACAACCTCTCTAGGTAATCATTCTGCACCCTGAGCACCCTCAGTGAGTTTTTCCTGAGAGTCCAACTGAATTTCCCTTGCTACAATTTCAAACCATTGCTCTTTGACTTGTCCCTGACGGCCACAGGGAATAGTCTCACCACCCTCTGTATAACTGCTCTTTAGGTATGTGAAGACTGTTAAAATACCCTCTTGGTCCTCTCTTCTCCATACTAAATAATCCCAGTTCTTTCAGACTTTCCTTTTCTAAGTCATGTTTCCCTGCCTTCTAATAATTTTTGTTGCTAATCATTGTCATTGGGGAAGGGATCAAGGCCCTGTTGGAGGCAGTGGAGTCCCAGAAGGGGAGGGGGGAATTGGCACTGGCATTGAAACAGTGGCGATGAGAAGGTATATGGGAAGATATAGCCCTGCTCAGTGACATCCATGGGCTCAGCCCTTCTCAGCTGCATGCATGGACTTGGGGCTCTGCTCTGTGATGTCCCTGGGCTCAATGCCTTGGTTGGCCCCCATTGTCTTTAATTGTTTTCCTTTACTTCCCTGGCAATACTTGGACCATAGGAGTTGTCAGTTCCAGCATCTGGAGAGTAGAGAAATTAGATTAGAGCCCTCTGTGACTACCCACTGCTAGCTCCTTTCTGGGCATGGTGCAGTCTCTGCTGTCCCCATACAAATCAAGTCCCTCACTGCCAGTTTCCCCACATGACTCGTCTGCTACACCTTGGTATTATCAATGGGCAGATCCCTTTGTGGAGAAAGCCTTGTTGATGGGGTATAGCACCCTTCAAGATCTCCTGGCATGCAGTGTCCTGCAGCTAGTTCTTTCCTCTGCAATGGTCCATTTTGGGAGAAATGCTCTTCTGTGTTGTGTGAACATAGTTCTTCCACCAGTCATTCACTTTTTTCCACCTGTTTCTTAAATAACCAATGAAGTAGCTTTTCTTTTGAAAGGAACAGTAGTTAGTTGATGTCATGCTAGTCTTTTATGTTTTCAAATGGTCTTTTCATTCTTAAATGCTAACACCAAAATTTCTTGTAATCATTTTAGTGCGTTATCTTTTTGCACAATTTTTCCATTGATATTTTGGAAATACAGCAGGGAATATATTTGTTTGTGATTATAGGCTTAATGGATCATTTATCCAGCACTGGATACCACAAAACACATACTTGATACCAAATCAGAACTTCATACTTTTGTCTCTTTAGTTGTCTTATACACCTGTCCTGACAGCCATTTGTCATACACACTGGAGATAACAGATCACCTTCTTTTTAGGTTAAATTGCTTATAAGTAGACACTTTTTAATTTCCAGGTAAATTAAAAAACTGAGATTATTTTAGTCTCAAATGAAAGTGGCCTAGAAACAAACCCCCAGAGCCAGAATAACATCCACAATATGCTATTTGAATTTTATAAACTTTCTCAGGCTTCCCTCTAGTCTCTGCACTAAGTGGTACTCAATAATTTCAGATGAACAAAGTGTGCAACAGGGAACAAATCAAAAGAAAGTAGTTGTATAACTAATGGAAGTTTTTGTGCTCTAAGCTTCAGGTCTTCTATCATTCAAATATAGCAACTTTGGAAGACTGGTTTCAGTTTCAGTGTACAAGGCTTAAGCAAATCTTTGCTTACACAAAGTGGGGGAGGGGGGGCAGAGCTCTACCAAAAAAGTAAGTTTCCAAAAAAGGAAACCGTTTTGAAAATGTGATATTTGTAGCTCAAATTTCCCATGCTAACTGTAATCTGGCCAGTCAGGATTGAAGTTGCTTTAAAGTAGTTTTCTTGATCTGTTTTTTATGAACATGTTTTCTTAAAATTCAAGATGCTTCTCCTGATAACACAAGCTGTCATACAGAATAGGCACAATTAAATTTCAAGAAAGCAGTGATTTTAATAAGTGTTATAACTAGTTGGTTAAGAGAAAATGGTAGCCTTCTGAAAACACTTCCAATGCTTTTTTTTTTACTTTACAGCAAAGATCAACATATAACGTAGATTGTGTATAAAATGAGCCCTTGATTATTGAGTAATCATTTGATTCTGCACAAGAATCAAGTGAGAGATAATACCCAATAGGCTTGGCAGGTCACCAGCAGGATAGCCCATTGCCAGTGCCTTGTTTGCATAAGATTTCTAAACTGTGCTTATGATGTATGTATGACAAGTAACTCAATATCCGTAGGGGCAGAGATAAAACTTGTAATAAATCAGCAATGGCTCAATATCTTGGGACCTTACTGCCTGAAAGACCACCTCTCTTGTGTCACAAGGCCTTGGTATTAGAACCAGAGTGCCTGGGACTTACAAGAAAAGTGCTGGTGGTAACATCCTTGTGATGTCAGTTCAGAAAAGCCTCCCTGGTTCTCTAGGGTCCACTCATTTATTGGTACTATGGGATGCATCAACTGGTGGTGGCTATTGTAGAGGATGTGGTTAATGGGGGGTATGTCTATATTTTGTAATGCGCTTGATGATCTGGATCCAGAAGTATAACTAGGGAGGGGCAACTGAAGCAACAGCCCCAGGTGCTGAATGGTGTTGGGGGGGAAGTGGAAAAAAAGGCTGCTGCCAGGAGCCGCCCATTACAGTCACCATTGTGCTGGCAGCTCAGCAGCAATCAGAAGTCGTCACTGCCGCAGGCATTCGGCCACATTACACAGCTGCCTGGATCAAAAGTAATTTCCTTTGAAATCCTGTGTTTGTAACAGGTGTTAGAGATCCTGGGATTGGTACTCTTTCTTCTTATTGTAGGAACACAAATATAACTCCTGCATTGGGTCTTTTCACTAGCACACCTTTTGCCTGCTTCCTGAGCATAACAGCATTAGTCGACAGTGCACACCTTGCTAACTTGAATGTCTTGAAATGGATTCAGTATTATATTTAAAGCTCTAAAAATGAGATACTAAAGTGTTTTTTAAAAATCCAACCCAGTGCCTTATTTCTGTCAGGATAAATAGATCCCAGTCCTGAGAACATACATGTATTTTATTCACAGAAATTGTTACCTCAGTAGGACTACTCATGTGAGAAAGTTAAGTGTGAGCCTAATTTTTTGAAGCTCCAGGATCTAAAGCAGTTTCAAAGTCAATGGTGGATCTTCACAAATTCTCTCCTTAGGTGCTTAGTTAGAGCCCATCGACATTCATCCAGCCACAAGGCTAAATCTTATTCACCTTCCTCTGGGTGCATAAGACAAATTGGATTTGGCCCTATCTATATCAAAAGTGTTGTGTGTAGCTGAAGATGTAGTACAATACAGTACAGCACATGCCAGCCACATAAATTCTGGCCATACAAATAAAGTACAGAATAATAAAGCTCCACCATCTATTTCAACACATTCAGTACTGGACTACAACAGCCTAGTTTTCCCTCTCTGTCCTATTGCACAAGCATCACTATTATTCATTCAGTATTTACTTTCCTACTATATTTCCTTTTTAATTCCATTAGTAACACATAATAACACTTGGGCCAGGCTACTGTACTAAATAATGTCTTTTTCATCACTCATCAAGGGCTAAATTCTGCCTACCCCATGAACATGCACAATGTAAGAATGAAGTAAAGAACACCCCAACACTTGTACAGCTGTTGTATAGCTGAGCAGGATCGCTGAAGGTGTACTATAATGCTACAAGGATGGGAAAAGGAGAGATTACTTTAAATTATGCCTCTACTCTATTAAAGTATCAGCTTGCTCACCTGGCCATCTTCACAGAGCAGAGGTTGCAATATATTCAACTCCCTGCGTATTGGGGAGCTCCAGGATGCACTGGAGCAATACAAAAATGCTGAGTGCTTCTAAAATTATCCTTTCTATGGTGAGACACCACTATATGCATAGATACAAGATGCTTATGCATCATCCCTAAAGAATGAAAACTTTTCTTAGGGTAAAAAATATAAGCAGCATGACTTGCACCTGGAAAATTCTAAACACCAGCATCTATAAATATAAAAAATATATGTAACCTTTTAGTTAAACAAACCGAATTAAAACCAGTAAGGTATTCAAATAGGATTCAGAAGTGGGGAAAACTTGTTTTTCATATTCTCTGCACTTGTTTCTCTTCAGTTTATGATGTTGCAAAGACTGTATACAACTAACTATGACATTCTGCATCTATACATAACTTCCTTTTCTTCTGTTTTGTTTTTTCTGTTGAAGCAGCAATATGTTTTGGTAGTAGCTTTCTATATTTTTGTAGGCACTGCACATATCTTTATCTCTTGTATCTAATAAAACAAGACTAGTAGAGTCTTTGATATGCTATTATTTTTTTTCAGTTGTTTTAAATAGTGGCTGTAATGTGGTAGGCACTTTTCCATCTACTCAAGAAGGGCCGAACTGTGCCCCATTAGCTCATAGTCTTAGAATATAGAGAGGTTATTTGATTATGCAGGTCATCTCTATTCCCTCTATGTAGCATGGCAGAATGGGTCTTTTGAGTTTGTCCAGAATCAAATCTGGACCCCCAACATGCACCCACCACTTTTTTGTGCACAAATTGGGTTCTTATATAAACTGGATCAAATCAATAGCTTCCATAAATTAATACCTGACTTCTGTGGAGACTTGCTGATTGATGTTAACTGAGGTATCTGGCCCACTGTAACTCATATTTTTAGTCCTGAATTAAATCCTGAAGTTCTTACTTCGGCTTTAATGGACTTAAGGTACCATTCAGAGGGAGAAAACATGATGAGAACTAGTTCATAATGACTTTTCACACGACAGAAAACTGCAGAATGAGGTACTGGAACCAGGACAGCTCCGAGACGGACCATAACCTTAGCCATGACCTAGACCATGTAGCATGCAAGAGGCATTATGCCTCAAAAATATCTCATGAAAGACAATTCCCTTTCAGCTTCCTATTTGCTCCCAGAGCCCAGGGTAGTGACCATCCCAGATGGATCCTGACCCATGAGAATGGATCCTATGGTTGCACAAATAACATTTTGCTTTATATCAGCAGCAAATTCATCTCAACTCTTGTACCCCACGCTTAGCATGTTGTTGACCGACTTGAAATAACATTTTAAAAAGTATGGGGAGAGTGAGACTAGGATATGCCAGGCAGCATTTGGGTGCTTGCTGACTTACTTTTTGTTGGGAGTTGTAGGGTCACGGTTGAAGGCAATACTGCTCTTCTGCTTTTTCTACTTCTCTTCTGCAGCCTGAAAATAGAATACAGAAAATAGAAATTAGTGGAAATTTGTATGCTGGGGCTTCCCTTTCCTATGAAGACAACTAATCTTGGAAGTTTTTAGGAGCAGGTTAGACAGACACTGGACAGGAATAGCTTAGTCAGGGATGATCCTGCCTTGAGCCAGGGGTTGGACTAGATGACCTCCTGAGGGCCCTGCCAACCCTCCTATTCTATGATTCTGTGAACTGAGGCCCAGGTAGAATGGGTGGTGACCTGAAGTTAGGAGGAGGTAGATAGTTTTGGTAAGTTGCTCAAGGCAAGGATTGCCTCTTCATACATTGTTGGAGGCACCTAGGCCTTATTGTAGTATGAATAAGAAGTTCAGACAGGTAACTATGTTGGGCAGTTAATTATTGTAATTTTATTTTAAAAAGGAAGTCAACTGAGAATAGAGGTCTTACAACAGAAAGTGGTTTTCTCTATTTCATAGCCTATGTTGTCAGGGTAGAGGCTGAATATGTCCTCAGAACAGTTTGGGAGAAGACAACTCCTTCAGTGCTTCCTCATTAGTAGCTGCTACCCTCGAGCAGCAATCAGGCTTTTGCCAGGTGTCATATCAATGCTTTACAAATTTTGCTTTCATTAAAAACCACTGTAGTTGCATTTAATTTTATTTAAAACTTTCATTTAAAACTACTGACACAGTGTGTGAAAGGCCAATTGCCAGTGTTGTCTTACTGCTGGACTATACAGATAATACTTCATGTTATTATATCACATCAAGGATATTATACTATATTCAAACTCAGGGCACCGCAACCCTTTTCTGAATATTTATCTAAGTGCCTTTGTTTCATAATATACATTAAATGTGTGTCAGGTTGCCAAATCTATATTAGCTTTTGCTGTAATGACTTTGACTTTACTGGAAGAAACAAAACAGGAATGTTTGGGGCTTTTATGGTTAGCTTATAAGCTAATTCTTTGTATCAGCAGTCAGAGATGTTCGCTTAATAATTCATGGGTCTGCTTTTTAATACACACCAATTTGTGAACCTGGAGTGAAATAACCAGTTTGGGGAATGTCAAGAGAGTTCATTTTATATATCTCTCAACTCCTATTTCTATCTCAATCCACATTCCAATTATAATGAATAGCCACAATGGCAATGATGAGGTTTTCACATTTCAGGAGAAACTGGCATTTTATATTTTCACAACTTTGCTGTTATCTGTGGATATACAGTTTTCCTTTAATACACATACTTAGTTGTCCTTTAACAAGGGCCTGTTTCAGTGGTTGCTGTGTGGGCAACTAGCTAGTGGAAGTCCTGTCATTTGGAGAGAGGGGAGAGGTTGAAACAGGATCAAGTCCTGAAAAAGTAAAATAAATAATTCATATGATTAAAATTTAAGGAGAAAACAAAAGCAAACGCGACTTGGAGCAACTCAAGGGATGGGGTCCAATATCTGTAAAGGGAGGTATGTTACACTATTTTCTTAGTTTCATTGTAGGCTGTAGAATAAGTTGTGCGACTGGTGATATATTTTTGAAGTTGATCTGGAACATAATTCAGTACAGCAAGTGATCTCCATCTTGGAGGGCATGCTGGGGGAGTAGTCATGACTTGCAGGTTAGACTTGTGGTAGACTGGCATAAATACATAAGGAAACTTAAATTTACTCATTCTTCCATCAATATCTTTATGGATTTCCCAACTGAGCAGTATCTTAATTCTTCCATACTTTATACTTGGCCCCAGCCTGTCATTTGTCCTCACTTTTTGCTCACAGAGGCATGCCAGTTTGATGGGTGAAGGGAGGATCTATGTTTTAGTTGCCAAGTAAATGGAAATGGGTGCCACAGCACATTCTGAACATACAAATCCAATGAGTTTCAAAAAGCATGCTGTGGTAGGCTGCGTGTTGCCCCTCCCTCCTGTGGCAAACTGGCATACACAGATGTAATACAGAATGAGTGGATGTTGTGCAAAAGCCATAGAAAAGTTGGGAGAAAAAATATTGGCTAAAAATGTTGTACAAAAGATGCAAAATTCACCTTTGTCTCATGGAAATTAGTCAAGCCTCCTGATACTATAATACTGTCAGTGCCCTCAAACCAAGCAACACTGAGCTGGGGCAGCACTTAGAAGAGAGATTTCTAGATGCTGACAGGAACTGATGAATCTGTATTTGACATTTTTTCCATATTTGGCACTCTTCTCAATGTGTCGGGATTGAATGTAGTTCTCGTACAGCTTTGGGGGATGTGGTGAAATTGAACTGTGGAAGGGGTTGTGCTGCTTTTGTCTAGAAGTGGGAAAAACGGAAGAATACTTTTTTTGCTGAAAAAGCGCGTTCAGGTCAACTGAAACAATTTGAGAATTTGGGTCAAAGTCATCAAATTGTTTTGACTATAAAATAAACTAGAAACAAAATTTAAACAGTCAACAGATGTTTTCAACACATTTCAGCTTTATGATATATTTTTCAGCGTTATATTTGAAAATGTTGCTTGGCTTATTAAATTTGCATTTATATGTGTGTATATATATGTGTATATATATTGTATATATCTATGTATAATCTTACATATATGTATGTACGTATGTATGTATATGTAAAATTATACATAGATATATACAATATATATACATATACACGTACAGAAGTGTGTGTGTAAGATTGTACATATTGCACTAACTATGTTAGGAAAGAGAAGTGGATTAATAGGAACACCAAAAATATATCATTGGAATTCTTTACTGATGGATAATGGGGAAATTAATTTTTTTTAATAATTATTTTTTAAAAATATGTTGTGTAAGTAACTCAATTCTACAAATATGATTTGACCAATTTCACTTCAGTGTGACAGCCAGGGATACCCTCACTACCATCACAGCTGCAAAGCACTGTTAGTGAGTGAAAAGTGGGAAGCCTAGGCCAGGGTCTCAGCAGTACAGTATCTAGGAGTACTCTGTGTAGGAGCATGTAGGAGTGGGGCCTTAATGGATCTTCAATGGAACTCCCATAGAGACTACTCCAGGCTTTGCACTCCTCCTCTAGACTGCAGAAACCTCCACAAAGCAACTCTGCATCTGCTCAGAGTCCAGAGGGAAGAATTCTCTGCTCCCTATCAGCCATCCTACCCATGTGAATTACGCCTGCCTACTTGGACTAGGCATGGGATTCCTAAGTGTCATTGGCAGTGATGGTGATTTGTCATCATTTTGCAGTAATTTCACAACCTGCTTGACTTCAGCATATATGGCAATCTCTGTTCAAGAGAAACACACCCCTCATAACTGAATTACTAGAGGGTGCCATGTGCTAGTAGAGATTGTGAGGATGCTCACACAGTTCTAGCTTGTGATATCCCAGAACAAAGCCTCAGCAAGCTCTAAACAGTCCCCTTAAGTGCCTCCTATTGCGGCATCAGATCTCCTTTAAATTAGGTACCTGGGGCCAGATGCAGACTGGCAAACTAATGACCAAATCCTAATATAGAATAGCCCAACTCCATCAACCACAACCCCCTTAAACTATTGTCAAATATAACTTTTAACCTCTTTATAAGGGGCATTCATCAGCTGTTAGGATGTACATTTACATGATCCTGTAGCAATTCAAGTGAGCGAAACTGCTGTACCTTCAATCCTGAATGAAACATTTGATGAAGTAGGCTGTAGCCTATGAAACCTCATGCCTCTCTGTAAAAGTTTAAGACGCCAGCCTGCCCTGCCTTCTGCCTTAATGAAACATTTAAGTTGCAGTGACTTTGTTACATTTATAGTGGCATAGGAGTATATACCAGTTTCATCATGACAGCAAGAAGGTTCCTAATTCCAATCTAACCACTGTTGTGATCCAAGGTGGAAGTAATCTATAATTTGTCTATATCCTAGATGTCAGTCCGTTCATCTTGAAGTGGGGAGACCTGGGTTTTTAGCCTGAAGGAGATTCAGAACCACATCTTCCCCTTCCAGCAGAGTACCCTGACTACCATGCTGTAGAAGAGTCGATGTGGGAGCACACTCAGTCCCTCCTGTTCAAGATGGGCCATTGGGCAGAAATGAATGCAACAGTGATGAGGTCAGGAGGAGATCAAGCCAGAGGCAGCCTAACAGTCACCTTGTTATTAGGGCACTCATCTGCAGAGCGGGGGCTGGGTTTTAGTTCCTGCTGCAAAGATGGTTGTGAATGCATTTTACATGAGGTGGTCTTTGGATGAAAAACAGGAATAACCCTGGGAGTATGGACCAGATCAGGTTTTCTTCCTCTCTGGGCCCTAGATTCCTACTTGTTCTCACTTGCTCTTTTGACCCCACGATTCCTGCAGTCCTTTCTGTTCAGTCCACACACTGAGTAAATACCAGACAGTGGCTGATGGATTTGGAAGTTGATATCTGGTGCCATACGAAAGAAGCATGGTAGCTGGGGCACTCTGCTTGGTTGTGGGAGAAGTGAAGGATGAATCCCATTAGTCTAACAGTGTGTGCTGTAACCCCAAGGCTATTAAACAAAAGATGGCTGGCAGGAGCCTGATCACCACCACGTTCATTTCTGAGTGAAAATGGCCATAATTGCTGCATTTTTTTGTACTGAACTCAGTTCTATTTATGTGTGCTCAAAGCATGCCTAACTGATCACCAAGCTGTACCAGGGAATTGGGTGCTGCCCTGTTTCCCTTTTGGATTGCAATGGAGCTTAGGCATCTGATAACTGGATAAGGTCACTCCTATACATACACAGATAGGGACCTTGGCACCTCTGTAGTTTGAAATGTTAGTGTTGAATGAATCAAGGAGTCTGTTGAGTATGGGTCATTTTTTGGCTGCTAGAACAGGGTTATTCTGGATCCCTGAATAAATCCCAGCTTTGTCCCATATGGATACCCAGTTTACTAATATGAATCTGGCTCTGTAAGGTTAAGCCTGAAGTCTTTGCTCAGGCAAAACTTGCACTGCAATAAAATTAATTCCCAGCTTTAGAAGATAAACATTGGTCGGGAGTGGGGAGGATGCAATAACTGGAATACTCTCAGCAGCCTGGCTATGTCCAGTACTCACAAAGGAGGGTAGCATGATAGTGTATTCATGCAGATTCATACAGCAGTTTTTACTGTTATGCTTGATACTTGAATGCAGAATGGTTGCTGCACTAAAGACTACTGCAGCTTTTTTTTAAATTGTGGCATTGGTGCTTTCCCTATATGTTCAAACAGAGCCTGAGCAACAGCATGTTCAAGAGTCTGAGTCAGTGGAGTGGTAACAGGGGGAGGAGAATTTCAGTTTTAATAAATTCTAAGTATATATTTGGGGATATTGAGAGTCCACGTCTATCGCAGTTTAATTCAGTCAGTGGTGCTTTAACAAAGAATTAAAATGCAAAGAGCTATGTTTCCCCCTCCCTTGTTTACATTTACCATGAATTAAAAGAACAAATAATAAATGAGCTATATATACTCAAAGCAGCATATCTTGCTATCATCGTAATATTTTAAGAAATTGATGTTAAAGATGAATTACTGTTAGCAGTGAAGCAACATGCTTTCTTGTTAAACTATTCAGTTTGCACTTTCTATTGTGCCTGCTGCCATGTGCTTAAAGACACCACAATGTGGCCACAGACATCACTGTAACAAATCAGTCTCTCAGCATTTTCATACGTGCTTATGATGATGGTATCTGATCACCTAGGGGAATATCTCCAGGGACTTAGGCAGCAAAAATATCATTTTATTGGCAATAATAGGAAAAGTGGAAATGGAAAGAGAGTTCTATCTTACCGGTTCTCCAAATTAAGTAAAACATAATTAGTAGGAAGCTAATGTACTAAAGTCAGCATTGTCTTGTACAAGATGAAGTAATAAAAGGTCATTAGATAAATACACCGATATATACTTAGGTATGATAAACAGATGTGTCTAATAGCCACTTGAGATGCTTTATTAATATAGAGCAATCTGTTAATCTATACTTTCTGTCTAAAAAAAATCAAATTTGCTGTTTGACACATTAACAACATTCTAGAAATCTTGAAGCTTACAAAGGTGAAAATAAAAGATATCCCTACAGTGTTAGTCTTCATTTTTAATGTAGTTTCTCCTTTCTTGTTCACAGAATAGCAGGTGTAAATGGTTGGAAATTTACAGTTAAAATTATATTACTCCACACCAAGGATATACAAGTCATTTTATGTACATCTGTAGAAATGAATCCTTCACATGAAGAGAAAATACTTAGATCCTGCTATTATGTAGCAGGATTATCTTTGTCTTAATTTCTTGAATACTAAAACAAATTCTCCATTTGATTTGTACCCCCTCCGTGAATTTTAGCCATTCATCTCCAAGTCTTTTTTATTAACTTTCCATTTTAGCTTCCATTCTGAAAACATTTTTTTCATGCAGTCCTGTTATTGCCATGAGTGGAATATACTGCATAAAAGCCAGGTTATATTGTTAAAAGGATACAATTTAAATTTCTAATATAAAGAAGAAATCAAAGTTAATTAAGGAACAAGGAAAAAGTAACAGTCCTACCTTTTGTATTTTCTCCTGGTTTCTACTGAACTCTTGAAAGCTTTCGATACGAGAATCACTCTGAAAAAGACTTTACTGATCGTATACAATAGTTTCCACTCTCCATTTGACATACAAAACAAAAGTATAATTGCTCTGAGCTTTCAGACTACATCTGAGCTCAGAAACGCCAGTAGTAAAGCTGTCACTGCTTCCGAACAACATCTGAGAGCAACTTGCAGTCTGCATATTTTACGTTTCCTTTTTCCAGTGGGTAGCGTGCTCTCAAACAATGAGAAGCTACAGTTAGATATGGGCACAGTCTTTACACTTGATAGCCACTTCCCCCTCCCTTGATTTCTATTTGGGTGGTTGTCTTGTGTTCCAACCGTGCAGTCAATGGGTCAAAATGACAGCTGATGTGGTAATAATTACTTTAATTGTGAATTCAGGGCATACTGACACATCCTGGTGAACTGGATAGGCGTGCAGATCTATGTCATTTGTAATGCTGCTGCTTTTCCTCACTCTAGCCAAGGTTACCTCTACAGGTGCATAGTGGGACAATCTAAAAGCTGTAAACTCCTGGTTATGCCAGGCCCAAGCTAGGTGCTAAGTCTTATAGACAAAACGATGCTTTTAAATGGCTCTTAGCAAACCTCTCTTTCCAGAACCTTCTTTTCTACCAAGGAGATGGTGAGAAGTACTACAATCTAAGTGGAACTTTCCCTTTATCTCTGTCCAACTCTTAATTTCATTCTCCCCCCCCCCCAGTAATTTTCTTTGTCCCCTCTTAATTCCTCATTGTTTCTTTTGCACTTCTTTATACCCCTTGCATAATCTCTTTTCTCCCTTCTTCACACCCAACATAATCATTCTTTTTACTTTTCTTTTCCCTCTCTCCACTTGATTCCACTCCTTCCTTCCTTCCCAGGTTCTTCAGCACCTGCATCTCCCAGCCCTCATTTCCTGTTCTCTCCATTTCCCTCTTCTCTCCCTGTCCCTGCCCTCACAGCCCTTTAACTCCCCTTTCTATTTATCTGTTTTAGTGACCAATGTCCCCTATCACTAGTCTGCTTCTTTAGCCCTGAACTCTTTTCAGACATCTGGCAAAGCAACAACTCATTTTTTCCCCTGTCATCTCCTTGGACTCTATTTCAATCCTTTACTTTTTCTAATCTGAATAGGCAGGCTCTCTTCCATCAAGCCTGTCTCTTGGCAGTAACAACATGTGATTCAGCCCATGGCTACTCTTGTCCTTAGATGGTCAATAAGAGTTTCTGTAAATAAGGACAGATGGGATTCTGGACTGGAGCAAACTGCTATCCTTTCACTATCTTTTGCCTTCTTTTTTCCATTCAGGTTTACTCTGTTAATTAATCAAAAGAGATCCTGGGGAGCCTGACTGGGGCAAATGCTTAATTGCAAAACCCTCGTCCTTTAAATGGTATACCCAGATACTGACTCTACATCAAAGATTACATGTCATTGGTCGTGTCACTATGCTAGACACCAATATGCCCTGGGTAGATACTTTTCAAGGCAAAGTTCATGACCTATGCAGGGATGTGGTGGCAAAGTAGTAAAAGTTTCTGTCTACAGCTTCAAAGACATGAGTTTGAGCCTTGCTCTGGAAGTATGCCAAAAACAGCCCTTGGACTGGGTACTTACTCTGATACATGCCATGGACTTCAGAAATGGGTATACCTGAACCATCCTAGCCTGTTGGGTCACATAGACTTGGGTGGATTTTTTACTTCTTCTATGACCTACCTACATATACCTCTTTTGGTGGCTTGTATTAAAGCTGTGCCAGCCTGAGGGAATAGAGGAGCCCTTGAAAAGAACAAGGATAGAGGAGTCAGAGGGCAGATAATTTTTAAATTCATAACAAGAACTAGTCTGATTCATGGAGTCACAATCAGAGGCATAGCTGGACAATTCTCAACCCAGGCCTGCCACAATGCATGGGGCAGCACCAGCAAATTTAGCCACTACTGTGGCCGTGGCTATATTTGTGCACCCCTTTCCAAGCCCCTGCAAAGACCGAGCCCAGGGATGCTGTTCCAGTCACCCCCTTTAGTTATGCTACTGCTGGCAATCCAAGTGCTATTTCTGCTCTTTAGAAGTGAAGGAAATTTCTGTGCTGTTACCAGTACCCTGAAGTTTTTAAACAAGTTTTTAAACAGGATGCGTGGGTAAAGATACCCACTCAGTTTCCATTATTTCAGTGATTTATTTTTTTCCCACCACAAACCTAGCAGCTAATGATTTGATACCATATTTGCAAAAGAAAAATGTGTATTGGCCAGAATTAGCTTCATTTCATGTTTGGTTCTTAGTGGCTCTGATGATTTTCTGCTAAACAAGGGAGAGATGAGGGGAGGGACAGGGAGGCAAAGTTGCATTGACTTTGATCTAAGCATGTATTAGGATCGTTTGTGAAGACAGTCCAGCTGAAGTTGATGCTGGTCATGAAATCATAACTTTGTCAATTTGGCACTAGAGGAATATGATTTGACTAACTTCACTTATCATTTCATGCCGGTTATCTGCGTTATCCTGGGGACTAATGGATGTGCTTAACAGAAAAGCAGGTTAAATTCTGAAAGAGATCTAGGAACATTTAGGGCAATTTAGAAATTCAGGTTACAGGCAATTTTTATAAATTATAAAATAGTAAACAATAAGGCTGGGCTGGCAACATGCCTCAGATGCAAAAGCTAAAAGTTTTATAATCTCCCTTATTGATTACTGAATAAGGGCCAAGCCAATGATGCATGTGCTTTATTCTGAGGCAGTGATGCTGTGTGAGCAGAGGGACTGAAATTAGAAGAGGTTGTTTTAGGTCTAGGATGCAAATCATCTATACATCTCCTGTTTTGGTTGTGAGATTGGTTGAAATGCAATTACTTCATTTGGCTTGGAGATGGTGACATCATCTCTCCAGCATGTAGAGGCAGGACCAGTATCTGCCCCTCGGTATCAAGCTAGGATAGGGAGATGGACAGTCAAGAAGCAGGGCTTCCCAGCTCTGTCTAATCCTTTCTCTTACTTAGAATTCAGGTCCAAATCTAGATTTCAATTCCACTCCCTCAGAACTTTAAGGATACTGGGATCCATGCTCATCTCTGATCTTACAGAGCTGAGGAGTAGGAATCATCAGCAAAACATGTGATCTTCCAGTAGGCAAGTCCAGTGAGTCTCCTGAATGCACTTGAAAGGGATTAGTGGAGATGGTTTTTCATGTACTTGCTGCTGTATGCATGTAGAAGAGAATGCGGTTCCACAGTCATCACAAGCTCATCGAGAGATGTGCTTATAGCTGAAATAGTGCAGAGTCATAAAAATAAGATCCAGATACCAAATATGCCAAATGGGGGCATGTCTGGAGGCAGGTTTTGGTGTGACCCATTGAGGGGATGAGAGAAACCTCTGACATGTTTGGGTAAATAAGCACTATGCACTAAAGTAGTGCTTGATTCATTGCCACTTTACCCCCTAATGGGAACAATCTAGCAAGGGCCTGCCTGCTGGGTAACCACTTGGGCCGCAGGGCAACAGCATTCACCAGCATATAATGGGTTAGTGGAATAAAGAAGCACAGAAACTACCATCATCACAGAGATTCAAGAACTGCTGAGATAAACCATAATTGGAAATAGCATTGTCAATAGACAGACACCAAGCAAAGTGATCTCTTACCCTTAACCATTTATAAAATATTTTTCTCTTTTTTCTTTTACAGAAATTAATTTTCAGTCAGTCTCTGTCCTCCTTGTCTACTTTTTTATTCTTTGCTTTGTGGTCAATCTGTGACTTGTGAAGCATTGTGTCTTGTTTGCATTTGCTTTTGTTAAATAATATGATAAAGGACTAGGTGGGTTTCTCTGGCCCTTTTGTGTATGAGCTAATGAAATTCATTCCTTGTAACAAAACTAGAAATCTGTGAATAAAAAAAAACCCGAGTACTCAAAACTGATGCCAGTTAAGCAAGTGACTGGGTCCTACCAAATGTACTGGGGGACAGAAATTGGTAAAAATACGGTACCCTCATCAACTTTTTATTATCAAAACTGGTCTCACAACAGTAATGGTATTCCAGGTTGCCACAATTGGGGTGGGACCATTTTTCTATTGCTGTTTCCCAGACCCCTGTCACCAGAGATCAGGTTGGGGGAAGGCAAGACATATACCACTGCAAAGTTCAGATAAGTAGTGAGCATGTTTTGCTATAATGTCTAACAGTATTCAGGCATATTCTGTGTGTATATCATAATCTTAGAAAACTGGGGCTGGAAAAGATCTCAGGATATCATCTAGTCCACCCCCCTGCTCAACCTCACTAGCTATATTACTCCAGCCAAGGCTTTATCTAGCCTCATCTTAATTCCACAACCTCCCTGGATAGCCTGTTCCAGTGCTTTACTACCCTCCTAGTGAGAGTTTTTCCTAATATCCAACCTAAACCTCCCTTCGCTGCAACTTGAGACCATTGCTCCTTGTTCTGTCACCTGCCAACACTGAGAACTCTTTTCAACCAGTTTTCAGGTAGTTGAAGGATGCTATTAAATCCCCTCTTAGTCTTCCTTCCTACTTTCTTTCTGAGGCAGCTGCAGGAGAAAACATAGTCAAGATTTTACCAGGTAATCAGCTCTGACTTTGGATTTAAACTTCATGCATTTGGAGCAACAAAAATTCACACAAAAGATTATAAAACAAGCTATTTTTTATGTTTGATATTAGTCATTCTTCCATGTAATTAAAAGGCAATTTTGCAGATAATAGAAATACAGGCCTTGCAGCCAGAGCTAAGTATCATTTGTGAAACTTCCCTGGATTCATCAAACAGCAAATAATTTTAATAAATGGATTGAGACCACAAACATGCAAATAAGAGTTTGTTTGTTTGTATCTGCGTTTATAAACTTCATCTTGGGGTCAGCCTGAATAAGATTTTGTTTTCTTTTAATGACCCAAAATGTGTTGCTAGTATTATTTAATAAAATACTAAAATGCATTTCCCTCTTAGCAAATTGGCTTAGAGAAGTTGCAGCCTGCAAACCCATTCTTTATAACGACTCCAGATCCCTGAAGGGATCACATTTCCTACAATATAGGTAGATGTTCCTTTAAACCAAGCCTTGTGTGTTAGACTCCCAAGGTGGCATCACTGATATGTCTTATGGAATGAATAATCTGGCCTACAGTAGGGAAATAGGGACATTAGGCTCCTCAACTACAGTTGCCATG